CTGGCACATATTAGGGCATCAGCGAACCCTTGGATAAATGCCTGTTTATTCTGTGGAAGGATCCGAAACCTGGCTATAAATCTATATGATGAGGCCGCTGCATAATGAGGGCCCAGTGTAACTTCGGCAATAACAATAATCTCTGACGCTGGAGAAACACACTCCCATTTGTGAAGATGCATTGACATAACGCTCTCATTTTACAAATGGCAAAGCTGAGACCCGGGATAGTTACGTGAAGTCCTGGGGGTCCGCGATCGGTGCAGCCCCCTGACCGCCTTCGCGCTCGCCCACCTCCTCCGTCATCCCTGACTCAAAAGCACAAGCCCCAGCACTGCTCCAGGACGCTGCCCGCCAGGCTCAGCCACCCAGCAGGTGCTGAAGAGACAGGCCCTCGTCCGGCCCCTCAGAGAAGAGCTGTGAGCTGGGCACAGTCTGCCCTGGGCGCTGCCAAGGGAACAGATCCTCCCGCAGTCGCCTGAGCAGGGTCCTGTGGGAACCTCAGAAGGCCGGACCCTGAGGGGAAGGGAAGAATCTGACACCGGGAACATTCGCAGCCGGGCCTCACCCACCGCTCAAAACCAGTTGTGTCCAGCCTTTTGCTGGGATGGGGGTGGGAGGTTACATACCCCTGATGATCTCCTGAAAGCTGTGGATTCTGTTCCCCAGGTAAGGCTGCATCGTTTTGCACACAAGCACAGGAGAGGAGGGTCACGGTGAAGAGCTCCTGGCATAAGCCTGGGCTGTTTTAAGATTTTCTTAAACACTAGTGCCTTCTCTCTTGGACATCCCACCCCTCATCACATCAAATATTTTCATATCTATCCACAGCCACTCGCGTAAACACACACACATACACGAGTCTATTGAATTGTAGCTGACTGGCACAGTGTTGTCTTTTGTAGATATGTAATAAAACACTTTCAATTTTGTGCTTTCTTTTTCTATTTTGGAGCCAATAAACGTTTTCAGTAAATGACATTGAAATGTATCAGACGTTCAGAAAAAGACACAGATCCTAAATGAACAGCTCAATGGATTCTCACGAGCACGCCGGTACAGCACCCAGAAGCCCACCAGGCCCCCTTCCCCTCACTGCCCACCGCCCCCTCCCCGGGGCAGCCGCTGTCCTGACTTCTAACACCGTAGATTGGTTTCGCCTGTGTTCTAATTCTTTTATGAGTGGGATTGCAGAGTTCACACTCGTTTTGAGTCTGGCCGCTTTCATGGAACCCAGTTCAGGTGTCAGGCATTGTCAGAGGCCTGTGAACAGCTCGTGGGCTCCGGGTACTGCTCAAACCAGGCGCTCTCGACCTTGCCTTTATTTTTTTTTTAATAATTTTTTATTTTTCCATTACACTTGGCATACCATATTATATTCCTTCCAGGTGTATAACCCAGTGGTTGGACATTACATAACTTACTAAGTGATCGCCCCAAGACCCGTAGTACCCATCTGGCCCGGAACCTCCAGGGGAGCTTTGAAAAACCCTAATGCCCAGGCTGCACCCACACAACAATGAATCGGGGGGTAGGACCGGGCCTCGGCAGTTTTTCTTGCTCCTCGGATGACACCAGTTGCAGCCGAGCATGAGCAGCACTGGTCTAAGCAATTCTGTGAAGCATTAGTATCCCTGTGTGCACCTGAGGAAACCGGGGCCCCAGGAGTCACCACCGCATGCGAGAGTCATGGAGCCAGATCCCATCCAGATCTGACTCCGAGTGCACGGCCTTCGTCCTCGGTGAGCGGTAGAGCCAAAACCCGGCGGGGTGCCTCCTGCAGAGACCCTCCTCACCGCGAGACCCGCTGCAGCTGTGGCGAAGGGAGGTGGGGGTTCCCAGCTACACACGCCTCCAGGAGAAAGGCAGCACCCCGGGGGCTGGCTGTGGGAGACTCACCTCATGGCGTCCAGACTCCACCTTCGCCCGGAAACTCTGGAAGCCACAGTAAAGTCTTTGCAGGTGGGACAAGCTGCTGGTTGGGGGTCCTGGGGAAGTTACCCACAGCTGGGTACTAGCTCTGACCCGGGCCTATTTCCGGGCGCCGTGCAGGATTCCTCCACTTGGGGGCACCACGAGCTTCTGTAAACTGATTTTTTTTTCAACACACCCCCTTCCGCCTTTGGCCAAAGGAAGTCAGAAAGTGGAGTCGGGATAATGAGGGGGAAGCAGCAGCCCAGAGGGCGGGAGGCGGGGCGGGGGAGGTTCTGCTCCTGGGGCCTGATGAAGCTTGTCTCTGGTTGATGAGGAGGATGCAGGCACAAGGCTGCAACCAGACCAGGAGAGAGGCCACTCCCCCATAACTAAGCCAGCAGAGGGAAAGCCGGGCTGAAAAAGCACACCAGGTGTGGCGGCTCCGCCACTGCCCTTCTCCAGGCTGCCCCTGGGGGGGCCCATGAGGAGTGCAGTCCTCCCACACTCCTGGCTTGGAGGCACCAGACCTACCTCAGAGTCCAGGCACAGCTCCAAGCCCTTCCCTGGGAACCTGGGAAACCCTAACCTTAGGATGGCTGAGGACCTCAAGCTG